TCTTTCTTTTTGACAAACAGGACGGGTGCTCCCCAAGGGGAAACACTCGGACGTATGAATCCTTTATCGAGTAGTTCTTGTAGTTGAGCCTTCAACTCTTTCATTTCAGCAGGAGCCATGCGATAGGGAGTTGCAGATATCGGTCCTGTTCCAGGAACAAGATCGATGGAAAATTCTACTTCTCTGGAAGATGGTATACCAGGAAGTTCGTCAGGAAATACGTCAGGAAAACCACATACTGTCGGTATGTCTTTCAACTTAGGAGTTTCTTTTCGTGTGTCACGTATGTTACACAGATAAGCTTCACATTTCTTTCGAATGAGACGCCTAGCGTGTATGTACGAGATGAATTCAGTGGATCTAGGTGTTAGATTCTCTTTCACCTCTATAGACTTTCCCTCTCCAGACTTTAGTTGAATCATTCGTCGTCGGCAATCGATAATTGCTTGGTGTTCGGTGAGCCAATCCATTACGAGGATGATGTCAAATTCTTTGTACGGTAATTCGACAAGATTGGCAGAGAACTGATGTCCTTCAACAATCAATGGACAGTCTTGATACACATGATCTAACCTCATACTATGTCCTAATGGGTTAGACACTAGTATAGGTTGTTCTAAGTTTTCTTTCATTACGTCAACCTTGTCAGGCATAGGCACGCAGATATAAGATAACGTTGATCCAGGGTCTATCAACACATGCATGACAAAATCAAATAAGGAAAACATACCCTGAATGACGTCAGGGTTTTCCTCAGCTCGTGCCTTCATTGCATAAGTACGAGCAGGAGCTCGTCCCTGTTGCTGACTTTGGTTCTTGGCCGGATTAGATCCCGCCGTTGATCGTTGACTTAGCGCAGGTCGTGCTGATGCTGAATGGCTGACAACTGGGCTGTCGGAAATGGTTTGCCAGGATTAGTGGGGCAATCCCTTCGAAAATGTCCAGGTTTGCCGCAACCTAGACATAATCCTTGGGCAAGCCAACACTCGCCTGGATGATGTCTCCCACATGTATCGCACAATGGGTGTTTCCACCCTCTTGATTTGTTTTCCGACGCCATAGAGTGCGTCTGCACCGATTTCCCCTTCTTTGAGAAGTGTGAATTGCTAGATTCCTGGAAGGGCCTTTTTCCTTTGAAGATAGAGTTGATGGGACGGTGAGTGCTTGAACTGACATTATTTGTCTTCAGATACTCAATGCAAGCACTCAAGTCGCTGTCTGCCCTGGCTATGAGATCATAGGCCTCCGCGAAATCCACGCAGGTTAGGACGGACACACGCGACCTAAGGTCAGGTCGAAGTTTCTTCCTGAATTCCTCAATGCGATCGGTTGGGGTACTCACCAAGGTTGGTGCAAACTTAGCAAGACTGGTAAACTTCTGATGATACTCGGGGAGTGTCATGTCTCCCTGTTGCAAATCGACAAATTCCTTACGTTTTTCTTCACTAAAACGTTTTGGAATATATTATTGTTTGAATGCCCATTCGAAATGTGTCCATGTCCATGGCTTAGGGGTTCCTGCACTCTCATCAGTCCTCTTCCACCACTCGTAGGCTTCCTTGCGAAGCAGCTGAGACGCTAGTCAGGGATAGTTGCCAATGGGTACGTTAAGATCCTCCAACACTCGAGCAGTCTGCTCGATCCAGTCCCATGCAATTTGGGGTTCATCGATGCGATCCCCAAGGAATAATTCTGCACCATTATCCCTTAATGTTTTATAGGTTATCACTCGCGGTGGCGGTGGTGGAGGTGGTTGAAATATTGGTGCGTTGGCTATCTGTTGTAATACATTTGCCAGAAATGTGGGAATCACAAGGTCGGGTTGACCATCAACGTTTGGGTTATTCCCAACATTTTGTTGATTGAAGGGTTCATTTTGGATGGGAGGGGTAAAGCTAGATGCTTCGGTATGAACACTGACGTGTTCATTATTGTTGCCTTGTCCGTGGGAAGATTCTTTGTAACGCCCCAAAACATACCCTAAAATTTTTAATGAATAAATATTCAATTAGTCAAATTTGTTTCGATTAAAATAAATAGTTATTGGGCTTTGGGCCGAAATGAGATGTGTTTTGATATCCAATATCTTAATCTGGATAAATCTCATAGAGATAAATCCAATATGTTGAATATTTGTGTGGTCTTGATTGGGAACATGAATACAGACCCAAATCAAGAATAAATAAAGAAATTAGTTATGTAGTGAACTTTGAAATGATTTATTGAAATAAATCATGGAAATAAATAATATGAATTGAATATGAGCACCTTTTTGACTAAAGGTCAATTAAATCAATTTTGAC